TAAAGTGCGCGTTGTCAATAGTTGGCACAGGTTACGTAGGGTTTTTCCTCAATTCTTTGAACCCTGTAATTCCTTTCATTAATGTCACAGAAACAAGGACGCTCCGTTCCTCCTCTTTAAAACCACGCATGCTACGGCGCACTTCTCCTTTGAGTACATAGCCTGGATATAGTGTACTCTACTTACAGAAGAGAAAATATTCTCAGGGCAATTAAATCGGGAATTATTTGTTTGAGCGCCTCGAGACAGAAAATTGCAGCATCAAAAAAAAATGGTGGAACGTAAGTACGTAAGTTTCCGATTAATTGGCAGATGCCAATCAACTCCGCCTATCGTGTGAATTTACTTTTTACAAGTTCCACCTTTTGGGAATTTGTAAGTGCACGAATTATGAACTCGAATTTTAAAACTGTAAAATATACTGCCGATTGAAAAGAAAAAACTGACTTGATGAAACCTGATTAATCGCAAAAGTTTATCCCGAAAAGGTGCAAAAAAAAAAAATTCTCCTAATCTTAAAGCATCCTAAAAATCAAAATCCCGCAGGAAAAGTGTCCTAGTGAAACGCATTAATGAAGGCTGCATGCTTTCTTTCTCATTTGTTTTTGTTTTAAATTTTTCTCTAACCAAGCTACAACCCCGGACAAAACCTGTTGAGACAAATCGCGAAAATGCCTATTTTTTCCTGTCATCCCGGCAAAAAGTGAAACCTCCGCCAAATGAATGCCCGATTTCCCCCCTCCCCTTATCCAAAGTTGTTTAGGATAGCATGGCAATTATACACGTTGGTTTTTAGACCAAGGCAACTTTGAATAGGGGGTGGGGAGGGGGCTTACTTTTTGTGTTTAGGGGAGACGGGAGTAGGGCGCAAAAGTTAGAAAATAGATGGAATTGTCTCAACAGTTTTGTCCGGGGTTGTAGTTTCCGAAACATATCCTTAACGAAATTTTTGAACGACTGTATCAAGCAACCTAAAACTCGTCATTAAAAACGAGACAGACAGAATTCGGAATCGAAAATATATGATATTCGGTTTATTTGGACCGCTCTCGTCTATCTGGGACGCAGCAACCAAACATAAAGCTGCTTCTTAACAAGCCTTTATAAAGATTTTAAGTCTACACCAGAACATCCCTTTTCATTCATTACATACATTCATACGCTGTTTACAGGTAGCCATTACGACACCTGAAGGAGGATCATGAGGTTATCGCTATATTAAGATCTCTCCTTACAGATGACCCACCCATCCCAGGAAAGGTTAGTCACACCACTAGGGTCTATAACGTCCCCTACTCTTTTCGAACAGTGGTGTGGGTTCTTTTACGTCCTACAAGAACCAGATAAGTGACAGTACTGTGAGAGGGACCCACGGTTTTTTGTCCTTATCCGAGAAGACTGGAAAGTTTAACCGTTTGCAGATGTCGTTACGAACGCAGCACTTTCTTCTCAGTTATTTAAAGACCCTGAGTGTTGGTCCGGCCGAAGTTTGAACCCGCGACCTCCCGCCCAGCAGACCGGCGCCCTGCATACTGAGCTAACCAGGCGGCGGTTTCGTTGAAAGAACCTTTGCGTAAAATTGTAAAAATGGAACGAAGGCCAGACAAATGCTTCTGTTGAGGGTGCGGCATATTGCGTGAAAAAGAATGTCTGTGGAAAAACCCTCATTAAACAAGACCGATTCACACAAAACCAGAAAAAAAAAATAAGGATTTGTGATATCAAGTCAAGAAACGTATCTTTTACGTCCCATCCCTCTCTTGCGTTCAGTATGTGGTAGGTTCTCCTTTAAAGTCGTCAAAAACAAATGGCAGATTTAAAAGGACCCAGTTTGCTCAGGAAATTAGAAAAGATCCGAAAATGAAAAAGAAAACCATTAGTGTAACAGTAACCTACCTTTTGATCTCAAAAATGGGCAGTTCAGAGTCACGCTCAGAACTGTCTTCCATAGCAGAGTTGACCAGAGTCCAGGCAGAGTGCCAGCGTTACATGAAGAGCCTTTTCAATACCAGGGTCCTCTGTGGGAAAACAGGGCGATTTACGAGGCGAGGGCGAAATATAACAAGCGAAGCAACGCACGCCGTTTTTTATCGAGCAGTTCACCCTTTTTTAGTTTATTTTGTCTTGTTTTCTCCAGTTTCTTTCTTTTTTTATTCAAGAATAAAAAGTTGTCCCAAGAACTTTATATACGTGTTTTCTCTACGATGATAGATATCAAACTATTATTTATAATCGGGATTTAAATACAACAGAACCATAAGCGAAAAAGCACATGCTTTAGTAAAATTTATATATCCAAAATATTATTATTATACTATTCTCTACAATTTTTTCTTTCTGCATTTTTCCATCCGCATTTTCCCATCCGGATCGGCATCCGTCATCGGCAGGTTTCCGGTCGGCGTTTTACAGACACCCGGTAAGTCGGGTAGACTACAATAACAACACTTATCTACTTAAAATCAAAAACGCCCGTAGAACATGATATCGATCTGGCTGGCCCCAATTCTATTGATTTGGAGTCAACAAATAGATCATAATAATTTATTTAAGACTATGAAAGGTTAGAGACAAAGATTAGTCTGTAATCCAGAAATCGATTGATGCGAATTGCTTCCTCGCCTCATTCTTCTCGCGCGCTGGCGCCTCTGCCGCCAAAATTTCCCCTGAGACCCTGACTCGTCCTCAGTCTTCACTTTTCGTTTGTTAGCGGTCACGAGAGAATAGAAACCTTTAGCATCAGGTTTTTCGTGGGAAACTGGAAACCGCAAAGCAGGGAATGTCATGTGTCTTGCGGTCGCGTTTGCCGTTTGGAGTTCACGTGTGAACTGCAGGAAGGGCTTTCAGCGGTAAGTGACTTACGGCAAGGTTTTTTATTTTTGCCTCTAAAAATTGTACAGCCTCGCGTTTAAAGGCACGAACTTGCTTTGATGTGCTACTTAGATTTTTGATCTCGAAGCAATGAATTATTTATGTTTTTGGGCGAAAAGAGCGAAGCACTTCGAATTTACGAAAAACAACATGGCGGCCCTAAGCAATGAATGCCTTGCTTAAATTTGAAATCCCGGCATCGTGAAACTACAAACTTGTAATTACTGCAACCTGAAAAAACTGATGCTTAAGCTAATACGGCGTCTGCCTCGCGCTTCTCTCGTTTAAAAATTAACAGGAGACTGGGAGACGACTGGGTACGAGTCAGCCTGAGATCTGCCATATCAAAGTCTTATGATGGCAAGAATGATTAATTTGAAAAATATTTGACTATTTGCTTCTACTCGTTCGTTGCGTTATTCATCGACCAGTAAAGATAACCATACGAAATGGATCCGAGAAATGCTACCTGTATTTTATCCCACGGTTCTTTTAAAAGGCGTATCTCACGCTCGCCTCTCACAGTGCGGCCTGCGGGTTCGAATCCTGGCGTCGACGCCGTATGTGGGTTAAGTTTGTTGTTGGTTTTCTCCCTTGCTCCAAGAGCTTTTTCTCCGGTTACTCCCGTTTTCTCCTCTCCTTAAAAACTAACACTTTCAAATTCCAATTCGATCTGGAACGTACGGACACGTTTCAACTGAGTTCTTAAAAACTCCTAACTGCTCCGTGGGTAACAAATTACAAGAAAAAAAATGGCCCCAGTTGTTGAAAGGTTGGATAGCGCAATCCACCGGATAAATCCCTATCCAGCGGATAAGTACAGTTTGGAAGTAGGAGATTTCTACTCATCATTGCTGATCCTAGCAGCATGTAGGACGTGTGTCACATATGAACGTAGTAATTGACTTAAGTACCCTTACCATTAGTGTCTCCGTATTCTTATACAGTACTCTATCGTCATTCCTGATCCTAGCAGTATGTAGGACGTGTGTCACCTATGAACCTAGTAGATGGCTTATTATTCTTACCATTAGTGTCTCTATCATTATACAGTACTCTTTCATCATTGCTGATCCTACGAGTATGTAGGAGGTGTGTCGCATATGAATCTAGTGAATGGCTTAGTAGCCGTACCATCAGCGTCTTTGTATCATTATTTATAAAATAACTAAGATAGTACGCGCGCTCTGATTGGACGACAGGAGTGTTTGCATGAGAGTATGTAAACTTGGTTGTGGCGTCAAGTTGTTTGGTTTTTCGCGCGCTAATCACGCAAGCACAAATTTGAAAAAGTTTTCGAGTTCAAAACTCAAAAAGTTTACTTTATTTACCCATTCCTTCGTCGGCTGAAACTTGGAAAATCGTTACAAAGAAGGTGTGTACATTTTTCTTCGCTTAAGATGATCGTTTTAAGCGAGAAAAATCTGTATTTTGCAAAGCATCCTTTTGCAAAACAAGAACTGATTACGCGTGCAAGACTTCGTGGACAAGATTTTGCGACTGGTAAGAATTTCTCTTTTAATCAGCAGTCCCATACAAAGAGTTTTGCGTTTTTTTCTCGGGAAAGTTATTTTATAAAAGCAATAGAAAACTTTTTTCCTGTGTTTACATAGCCTGATATAAACACAAGAGGCGTTGGGAGAATTCTCGACAGTTATGCAAACCCTCGACTTCGTCTCGGGTTTGCATAACTGTCTCGAATTCTCCCAACCCCTCTCGTGTTTATATCAGGCTATGCAAACACGGAAAACGTTTGCTATTGCTTAAAGAGTGCTCTTTTATCATTGCTGATCCTTGCAGTATGTAGGACGTGTGTCTCATATCATCCTAGTAAATGGTTTAGTAGCCTTAGTATCATTGTTTCTGTATCATTATACAATACTCTTTCATCATTGCTGATCCTAAGCAGTATGTAGGACGCGTGTCGCACATAAACCGTAGTTTAGTAGCAGTTGTTGTTTATTCTTGGGTGTGTCCTCTCCCTTAAATCCTTTAAGTTACAGTTCGTTGTTTTTTTTTCCTGTTGTTTTTTAATTGTCATAAAATAATTTATACTCCTCTTCTATCGCTCTTGGCATGCAGTTTTCATTTTTTTTTTTTTTTTACTTTTTGGATTCCCTTCAGCAACTATGGAGGATCTACGTGAAGCAAGCGTACAAACGCCTGCACCTGGGGGAGACTTCCCAAAGCCATCAAGGGAAATACGGCAGCACCAAGCAAATCTAGAGAGGCAGCTCAGAGAGATGCGGCAACGTGAAGAAAGCTTACAAAGCCAACTTAGGGAGACGCAGCAACGTGAAGAAAACGCACAAAGGCAGTTAAGGGAGATGCAGCAAAACTCTCAAAGACAGTTAAGAGAGATGCAACAACGTGAACAAAACTTACAAAGTCAGCTTAGGGAGATGCAGCAGCGATTTGAAAACTCCCAACAACGGGTTTCCACCTTGGAAAGGCAGCTGAGAGACAAAGACCAGGAAGTAAATGAACTTGTGTTAAGTCTTTCGTTAGCCCAGCAAACAATAAGTGAACAGCAACAACAGGAATCATGCGATTGGGTCATTTCCCGCGATGAAATTCAAATGACCAATAAATGCCTTGGCAGGGGAGGCTGGGGAAGTGTTTATAGGGCGTGTATTGTGGCTGCACTGTAGCAGTAAAGCAAATTCATGATCTGATTCTTTCCCCTCATAATATTCGTCTTTTTGAGAGAGAAATGAATATTGCATCCAAATGTCGCCATCCTCACTTGCTTCAGTTTATCGGCGCCACTAACGATGAGGGAAACCCTCTGTTTGTGACGGAGCTGATGGAAGAAAGTTTGCGAGCTCTGTTAGAACAGCGGCAACTCTCCGAGATAGAAATACGTGTCATTCTTCTGGATGTAGCCCGAGCAATCAACTACCTTCATCAGAAGAAACCAGAGCCCATCATTCACCGGGATGTGAGCAGTGCTAATGTGTTGCTATGGCGACAGGGTGACCAATGGAGAGGCAAAATGTCAGATTATGGCACTGCTAATTTCATGCAGCAGACCATGACAGTGGCTCCTGGAGCTATGATTTACAGCGCACCTGAAGCACTTACATCAAACCAAACGGTCAAGGTGAGTTTTCTTGAATTTGCTCTTGAATTTGCTCTTGAATTGCTTTTCTGATTCAAACACTGTTTCATCAACACGTTTTACATTAAGACGAAACGCGTTGGTGCATTGATTTTGAGCGCGTAGGATTTTAAGGCCTGGTTGGTCGTTTACTCACAGAAAAGAATCTCTACTACACTATGTCCTTCTTCACCTTGGTGTAAAATTGGAAGCAGCAAATTGATGCTGATCTGTTTAGCTTTGTGTGAGCCAGACTAACATTCTGTGCTCATTCTCTTGCTGCTTAATTCCCGGCCAAACAGTGGTAACGGTGATAGTTTTTACCTTCACCGTTTGACCTCAAACATTTATGGGTAATCTCGACTACTGATCGTTTTCCAGGAGTTTACACTGTACACAACGAAAGCAAGCTGTAGACGTGTGGTTTTCTCATTAAATGTTTTAAAATTGATTTTATCCATTTAAAGATTTTTTAATCTGACCGAATACATAGAGATTATCGTTAAAAATTCAGGTCTAATTACGCACACAGGAATGCAGATTTGGATTTGATACTGGTTGCGTAGTTACAAAAAGAGGGAATGATCTAAAATGACCTAAAAATGTGCTACAATGGTATCTAAAATAAATATTAAAAGATGTCTCAAATAACCTTAAATTATTAAACTAATATAGGCAATAGGAATGTAATTTCGTTGACCGCGCATGTGGTTTCGAAAGAGTTCTTCTGTTAAAATATGTTTGTAACATGTTTCCTGAAGAATGCAACAACGTTACGTTGACACACAACACAATGGATTAGCATGACACGTAAGCCTCCCACTCACGCGGCGCGGAGATCATGGCGCGCTAAAAAGCCAGTTTGCCGAACAAATCAGTTGCCATTAGATCTCACATCGCACTTGTTCTACATCAATCAAAACTCCAAATGATCAGGTCCAATCGTCGCAGCTTACATATTCATTCCGAAATTTTATTTAGTCTGATCTCAGGTGTAATACAGTCGACAGGTAAACTCAAGATTTTTGCGCCATCAGCTCTACTCCAATCAAAGCTGCGTTGCTGGGCGAATTTTTTTTCCTCGTGTCATTATCTCCGCACCGCGTGACAAGAAGACTTACGTGACACACTAATCCTGCTCTTTGTCAACGTAAAGTTTATATTCAGTTGTTTATTAGGAAACATTCAGCGCTATAACTAAGAAGTAGGTGAGACCGAGAACTGTCCACAACTGATGGGCCTGAACTTTAGGGAAGTTTCAATTGTTTCGAAACCACTTGCGAGGTCAGCAAAAAACAAAATAATAATATTAAAAATAAAAAATATGTGTATCGTTCATAGGTTGATGTTTATAGCTTTGGTGTTCTTCTTTGTGAAATGTGCGTCCGAGAACTTCCAGATCCTAGAAGGCGTGAACAGCAAGTTCTGCTCATGACGAACCATGTGTTGAGAGGCCTGGTGCGGCGATGCCTGCAGACAGATCCTGAAGCGAGACCAACCATGCAAAGGATAATCGATGAACTGTCAAGATCTGTGTAACGTCCATCAAGAATTTTGTGAAAACTTTCGTAGTTGATAGAGTTGAATCGCTAGAAATCGTTTGTGCGGGAATTCGTGTGTAATCGTTTATCGTGACAATGTAGTTTACACAAGTGTTGCTAGAAAACAAATTACTCGGTTTGAAAACAGGCTTACAACTTATTTGCTTTTAATTTAGTTTGTAAAAGCGATGTTCTTTTCTTATATTACAGTCAGTGAAGTTAGGCTTTTTGACATGATAGATCAAAGAGAAAGCGAGGTCTTCGATTCTCTGTAAAGTTTTAGTAATGGTGCTCAAAAGCCGTATAGTTTCTCATTTACCGTCGTGGGAAATGGATTTCTTTAACCAGTATGTTTTGTTTTTCCCAATGAATTTGGCCCTTTGTCTTTTCATAAAGTGTGCGTACATAAGCACCTGAATAAGACGAAATTTAGAAGAAAAAGTTAAGTGGATTATTGGGTGCGGTCACGCTGGCGATTTTATTCATGGGCAAATGGCTGTTGCCCACGTGGAAGCAACTTTTTATGTGTAACCAATCTCCCTAAGGTGGAATTTCCTCGGGAACATTCCATGGATACGTCAAAAAGAACAAAAGACAGTTCATGACAGTTCCCGAGTTACGTTCTATGGGTTAAGTAAAACCTAAAGTGGCACCAAACAGTAGAAAACTGAATACAATGCTCTTGGCGCCAAATCCTACTCGTAGTTCGAAACTCTGCAGGATTTTGAGTGCTGCTGTGAATTTTTTTTACGTAATTCAAAAGCACCTTGAAACACCCAAAAGTATTCTTTACATCAGTGTTCAAGAATTCTTTCCTTATGAAGTCGTTAACACTTTTTTTGTAAATTAAGCCCGTACTTTTGATTGTTGAGCGACAATTTGCCTTTGTTTACAACGACGTATTCCCGCGATACCAGGTTCAAGTTTTTTCTTCCCCCTTGACGAATTTATCGTTGTGTAACTGCAAACATGAAAACGATCAAAACCCAGAGTGAACCCAACCCAAGCTATTTCACATGACCTACATTGAGAAAACAAAGCATAGTACAAGCGAAAGAGGTTTATAGCAACATGCTTGGGATTAACCTTGTTAATAGAGGTCAGGCTTGGCTGAAGATCACTGAGACGTCAGGCTATCACTACTAGGAGTATATATGTGAAACACCATGTGAAAAACGTGTGAAAAATGTCCTATTTTCACACTCTTTTCACATGTTTTTCACACGTTTTTCACACACTTTTCACATGCATTTCACACACATATTTCACATGCATGTGAAATTTTGTATAGTGAAATATATGTGAAAAGGCTGTGAAACGATGTCAACCCTTTCACACACATTTTCACATACACTTCACATGGGGTTTCACACAGGCTTTCACATGTCAATCCTCATTCAAATTCACACATATTTTCATACACTTCACATGGGGTTTCACATGGGCTTTCACATGTACTTAATCCTCACTGAATGGTAAAACATCTAGTAATTCACACATTATTTTCACATACACTTCACATGGGGTTTCACATGAGCTTTCACATGTAAATCCTCAGTGATCCGAGATCATGAATGGCTGTGGAATTTCACTACCCTGCAAGGGTAAACAAACCAACTACACGACAGAGAATAAAAACAAAACTTTTTAATATCATGCTCAGTTTTTATACCTTTAATTTCTACATCAATAAAATAACTAATCATATACTAATTTTTGGTTAGAAATATTTCTTATAAATTGTAATAATTATGATAGTAAATGACATGGTGGCCAATTTGCAATTTCCACTTATTAAGGCATACAAATGTATATACTAAGTTACAGAAAAGCAATCTAGCACTCAATGTCACTGAAAAGACAAAGTAAATAAGCATCTTTGAATAATACAAGCATGTATATGGAAAAAAATAATGCTAAATGACTGCTTCTTTACAAGTCGCTGAACAGCTTTCTGAACTGAAGGTCCTTACATCAGACTAGATAGAGGTGCCTTTTTTTTTTTACCTTATTGCAGATGTATGAATATTATGAATCGAAGCTCAAATAACAAACCTACTCAAATTTTATAGGTTTAGTTCAACTCTCAAGTCATTATAATTAACTTGAAACTTAATTGCTTCCAACTTGTAGTAGACATTACATGCATATCGGAAACTTATGCTATTTCTTCTCCTATTTTTATTTAACATTGGTCTTGACAAGTCTGCCACAGCCTACTAGCGCCAGAACATAAAATTTTCAGAGTATTCCATTGACGATTTGCAACAAAGAGTACAGTTTTTTCTGCAGTAAACAAAAAGGAATCAATCAAGGGCATATCTGTACTTGCATCTTAAATTTAAGATGTATCTTTGAAGGTTTAAGCTTACGAACCACGATAACAAAAAGAACATACCTTTGTGCAATAATCCAGCTGAGTTGCTGACTTGAAAACATGCTTTATGTGAAGAATTTCGCAATTGATCACTTTCTCTCGAAAATAACATGCGTATTATTGAAAGACAGTCTTTCTATTTTAATATCCGAAACTAACGGAACTATTCTGTTTGCAACACTGTGTTGCTTGTGAAGTCCGCGTGAATTTGAACTATTCAACGGAACTTCATTTTACAATTTTCTATTGGTTCAAAAGCCCCACGTGACATCCTAAATCAAATCGCGCATGTGCCAAAATCACGGGGAAGCCTGGGAGACAACAAACATGGCGGCTAATCTTGCGATGGAGAAAGTGCACTCGTTTGAGTCGAAAAAGCGGTTATTTTCAGCATTGATTAGAATATTCCTGCGCATTTGAAGTGTTAGAAGCAAGAAAAAAACTTAACATTGTTTTTTCAAGTTGGGAAACCTTTGAGGATTTAAGGAAATGCTGGACTTCACTACATGAATCAAAGTTGTACGTGTTGTGGACGTTGTTCATGTTGGACAAGCTCAGGTACGGAAAGCTGATTGAACCAAAGACAACTTAAGCAAATCAAGAGCATGCCAGTTATTTGCTTCAAGGAGTCATTAGAAAACTCAAAAAGCATGCAAAGCAATGCACGGAACTGTTCGCATGTTCAAGTGGACTTTCAACTTTACAATGAGGAACGTTACAGTAAGAAACAAAACGTTCATAAAGTGTAGTTACATATGTCGTATATATTGGCAAAGTTAGTTTTTTAATGGAGTAATGAAATTGTCCGTTTTGTCCTCAATGAAGATCTGTTGAAAGAATGGTTTAATTCTCAGGATTTAGCCCTCCCCGCTTAACAAAAATCTTGGTACACATCTTTCTGGGTGGAAACCAAGTGGTAAGATACACAACCCACATATTTAGATGAGACAGTTGATAAAATACATAAATTTATGTAGCATATTCTAGCAAATAATAAAGACAATAATGATATTTGTAAAGGTGCACATTTGGATTGGATACTCGATAGATTTTAATCAAGCCAAATATAATGAAGAATGTACAGTGTATTCAGGGGTTTCAAAATGTTTTGAAGTAGGCGCCAACTCTGGAAAAGCAGGCGGCTGTTACAATCGAGATTGTTTGTCACGAGCTAATTGTTATGACCAGTGTAGTCGGCGATATACAGTTGAGTAGCCGGCAGAACTCTGGCTGCCGGCTTGTGTATTTACTAATAATCAATGCAGTTATTGACTGAGAGATCTGGTTGCAAGCTAGATCATGAAAAGAGCTTTGAACATTAATTCCAGTCCTCTGCTTTATAAGAGGGCTCCTCTGGGGCTTGGCACTTTGGTATATTGGGGTTCGCCTTTAATGGTGATGATGATGATGATTTGTAACAGCACATTTGTTGTGATCACTTGCCTTAAAGGTCTGATGCATTATAGTATGGTGAATTTTCTAGGTTAATAACTTATCAAATCTTATTCTTGAAAAATTCATGACCCTCATAGTCAACTTAGTTTGATATTTATCAGCCATGAGCCATAGAATGCTAGATGTGGTGTGTTTCTTGGATTATCAATGGGCCATGAGACCAAGGAGCACCTTTCATAGAAAATTCATGGCCAGAAATAAAGGCATGAAATTTAATTTTTCAGTTTTCATGGGCCATGAAATGACTTTCATGGGGTATTCACTAGAAATTCATGGCATTTTCATAAAAATATCGTTCATAGTGGTTGCATTTAACAAGCGCTGAAAAAAACTCACATGCTCACTCTGACATGCCTAAAAGTTAGTGTTCACATGCATGTGAAAAATTTCACATACATAGCATCTATTATGCATGTGAAATTTGAAATTCACATGCATGACAAAATTGTTTCACATGTGTGAAAAGATTTCACATGTAATAAACTGCATGGAAAAAAAGTTCACACATATGACAAAAATTTTTCATATGTATTACAAAATTTCACACGCATGCCAAAAAGTTCACATGCATGTGAAATGCTGATGTGGTGAACTTGTATTTTTGCCAACATTGATTTCACATGGTTCCTTTTTTTCACACACTTTTCACACCCTTTTCACATGATTTTCACACACATAGCCCTAGTAGTGTATATCCCTAGCCAACTTTTTGTATATGATCGTTACATCAGGAGTTTTTTCTTTTTGTGAAGACAACTGAACATTTGACTAACGACCATGAAAAAGTTATATTCCTTCATAAGCAAATAGGTTACTTTTAAAATGTTTTAGTTTAATTCAGAAATTACTCTCTTCTTAAGAAGGTCATGCGCACGAAGCATAAAAAATTGGTCGAAGAGGTCGCTAAAATTGTGACAAATTTGAGGATGTTACACTGAATTAATTACGCGCAGTAGTTCGGTAGACATTTGTAGTTAGCGTTTGCTCTGACAGTAGTAGGTAACTTACTCATAAAGCAGGGTTAAACTTTGTTTGTTTGTATGTTCAATACGTACACAATGTACATATGACGTGAAATAGACAAAAATTTAATTGGCTGAGCCGTTAAAGCTGTCGCATAGTAAAGCCCATTGGGTATTTTTAACAAAAATTCCTACCCAAAAGGT